ATGATACAAGTAGATGGAGAGATATACCATGTTCTTGGATTGGAAGAATCAAGACAGTATGGTACTGGCACAGAAACAGAAATATAGATCAATGGAACAGGATAGAAAGCCCAGAGATAAGCCCACGCACATATGGTCACCTTATCTGTGATAAAGGAGGCAAGAATATACAGTGGAGAAAAGACAGCCTCTTCAATAAGTGGTGCTGGGAAAACTGGACAGCTACATGTGAGAGAATGAAATTAGAACACTCCCTAACACCATACACAAAAATAAGCTCAAAATGGATTAAAGACCTAAATGTAAAGCCAGAAACTATTAAACTCTTAGAGGAAAACATAGGCAGAACACTCTATGACATAAATCACAGCAAGATCCTTTTTGACCCACCTCCTAGAGAAATGTAATTAAAAACAAAAATAAACAAATGGGACCTAATGAAACTTAAAAGCTTTTGCACAGCAAAGGAAACCATAAACAAGACGAAAAGACAACCTTCAGAATGGGAGAAAATATTTGCAAATGAAGCAACTGACAAAGGATTAATCTCCAAAATTTACAAGCAGCTCATGCAGCTCAACATTAAAAAAACAAACAAACAAACAAACAAAAAAACCCAACCCAATCCCAAAATGGGCAGAAGACCTAAATAGACATTTCTCCAAAGAAGATATACAGATTGCCAACAGACACATGAAAGAATGCTCAACATCATTAATCATTAGAGATTTGCAAATCAAAAGTACAATGAGATACCATCTCATAACGGTCAGAATGGCCATCATCAAAAAATCTACAAACAATAAATGCTAGAGAGGGTGTGGAGAAAAGGGAACCCTCTTGCACTGTTGGTGAGAATGTAAATTGATACAGCCACTATGGAGAACAGTATGGACATTCCTTAAAAAACTAAAAATAGAACTACGATACGACCCAGCAATCCCACTACTGGGCATATACCCTGAGAAAACCATAATTCAAAAACAGTCATGTACCAAAATGTTTATTGCTGCTCTATTTACAATAGCCAGGACATGGAAGCAACAGAAGTGTCCATCAACAGATGAATGGATAAAGGTGATGTGGAACATATATAAAATAGAATATTACTCAGCCATAAAAAAGAACGAAACTGAATTATTTGTAGTGAGGTGGATGGACTTAGAGACTGCCATACAGAGTGAAGTAAGTCAGAAAGAGAAAAACAAATACTGTATGCTAACACATATATATGAAATCTAAAAAAAAAAAAAAAAAAAATGGTCATGAAGAACCTAGGGGCAAGATGGGAATAAAGGTGCAGACCTACTAGAGAATGGACTTGAGGATACAGGGAGGGGGAAGTTGGGACAAAGTGAGAGTGGCATGGGCATATATACACTATCAAACATAAAACAGATAGCTAGTGGGGAGCAGCCGCATAGCACAGGGAGATCAGCATGGTGCTTTGTGACCACCTAGAGGGGTGGGATAGGGAGGGTGGGAGGGAGGGAGATGCAAGAGGGAAGAGATATGGGGACATATGTATATGTATAACTGATTCACTTTGTTATAAAGCAGAAACTAACACACCATTGTAAAGCAATTATACTCCAATAAAGATGTTAAAAAAAAAAAGCCTGCAATAAGTCTCATTGCCATTTGTACATTGCCTTACTTTTTCTCTATAATGTATTGAGATCAGTTAAAAAAATGCTGTGAGATGTGAGGTATAAAGTATTCATTAAGTCCACAGATAGTCTTGCTAGCAACAACATAAGAGAAAGTGAAGCACATCCAAATCTAGAATAAGTGTCTACCTCATTGAAGACAAATCCCTGCCTCATCCAGGACAAAATTTATTGAAATCAATGGATAGTTTGTAAATGTAGTTATTACTAATTGAGTATTTTCCATATATCATCAACAATTGAAAATAAAATTAACAGAAATTTGTATTATAATGAAACTAACTTTAACATAACAAAGATAAAGTTATAATTGAAGATATCTGCATGGTATCTACATATAGAGCCACTAATCTTTTGACAGACTCTGTCAGTGTGTCTCTATTAACTTCTGAGGGAATGGGTGCCTTGATTTCAATAAGCGTTGTAGATTAGTTTAGAAAGAAATATGTGTACAGTAGAAAAGGAAATATAATCATTTAATGTACCTTGAAAAAAAGTTCTTTACAACCAGCTGGTTCATCTAAGGCAATAGTCAAGGCATCATCCTGATTTGTGACCTCTGGGGAAGACCTGGCAGTTAGTTCTAAGTATTGTGAGCAACAAATGTCTATTTATTTTGTGATAAGATACACCACAACGTACGTTTTTTCAAATGACATACTGTGTTAGTTTAGCCTTGAACGATGAGATAGACTGATAGCATTTGGTTTTTCAAGCAAAGGAGTAAATCCTCCCCTTACTCATAAAAGAATTCCATCAAGGTGCAAACAGGCCCAAAGATGAAGATTTGATTTATTTACCTGGCTTATATATCTCTTAGGCAGTTTAATTTTCTGCGTAATAGGAGAATTGGCTGGGACTTTTCAACTTTATAGTTTTCAAAAATTTAGTCTTTATGAATTTTCATCTGGGGATAAAGGATGACTCACCTTCTATTCCAATCCCTCTCCTTCTTCCACAGATTTTATTCTGATTGCTATATACTAAAAGACAAAGAAACAACCAAAAAAGTATTTAGCCTGGAAATTATCATCTAATTATTTGGATTAATGGAGAAGATGGGAGGCTCACGTGACACATGACACAACAAGAAACAAAAATCATTTACGTTCTGTTTATTTACAGGACTCCGTTACCATTAGTGTGGGATGGAGATGGTGAAAGAAAAGAACTTTTTTTCTTTCTTCCTTTATTTTTCATGTCATGATGAGTGTACATTCTCTATATGGAAACACACAACAAACCAGTTAGTACTCAAATAGATATATGAGACACTATGGAAGCAGTTTCCAAATTCTGGACAAGCTGTTAGAAAAAGCTCAAAAAAGGGAAGAAATTTCAGAGGGCAGGCAAGGCTGAAGTGGGCGTTGAAACATGGGTAGGCTTTGGGTCAACAAAGGGCAAGAGTACATTTGACAGTGGATTTAACAAATATTAATTGCTTTTAGACATTACTACTATGCTAAATTTAGATCCATTTTAGATAAATTAAGTAACTTATTTACGTAAATTAAATTCATTGAAAATCACAACCTAAATAAAAAATCAGCCATAGTGGAAGCTTCCAACTTTTATAGATAATGGCTTTTGAACTAAAAGAGACACGTAATTTTAAACAACCGTAATATAGAGAAGCATTGTTTGTTGAGTGCCTGGTTCTCATTTATGACAACCTGAACTACGCAGAATTTGTTTTTCTTCACTGGTTCCAGGCAAAGTTAAAATAGCATTAAAAATACCAACCAAAGCAACTTTAAAATAGAAACGGATTTTTTTTCAGAAAAAAGTTTGAGATAAACGCCCTCAAGCTTCTCGCCTTCATCGGACCCCAAATAGTCATGTTTAGTCTTGCAGTGTTTCCTATTATACGGATATAGGGCAAAACGAAAGCAATATTCTAATTAGAAATAAAGCGCTGGTATTTCTCAGGCTGAAAATCACATCCACCAAGTTCCCTTCTCTCCAAAGAAAATTTTGATTTTTAAATAAATCTCATTCTCGAAAGGGAAAAAGCACTAAGAAAAAATGAAAAAAGCGGGAACTACCCGAAAATGTTTATTAAAGAGCTTCTGCGTGCTAGACTGAGAAGCAGGAAGTGGATTCCTCCCGCGCACCGAAAGCCCCGGTCTCTTCCTGGATGCCGGCAACCAATCACGCCGTGGAGGGAAAGAGCGGGCGCCCGGGCAAATTTAAACTGCCCGCGCAATCTCTGCACCCCCGCAGGAATCCAATTCTTTGTCCCAGAGCCATGAGTATTTGGATTTACTACGAATTTAAAAATTAACTCCTCCCTCGTTACTTTACCCTAAATGGTAGCAGAATTGGTGCCTGAACCCTTTTAAATATACGAAGTACCTAAACGACAATGAAAAGGCCAGGGCAGGGTTACAAGGAGTTCCAGAGCTTTGCCAGGGTCAGGTAACATTTTTGTAGTTAGCGTATCTCAAACTTACCGTGACAGGAAAGTCCTAAAGGACTGTTCAGTAATTGCTCTACTTCGCAGACTAAATACTGTAATGAGCTACGAAGACCCAGCGCAGAAACAAAACCAGCACCAGCTCTCTCTATTGAGCATATGGTGGCTCTTAAAAGAGCCGTTAAATTGCTTGCAGCCAACTCACTGTTTACTTGGCGCTGGTGTATTTGGTGACAGCCTTGGTGCCCTCGGACACGGCGTGCTTGGCCAGCTCCCCGGGCAGCAGCAAGCGCACGGCCGTCTGGATCTCCCTGGACGTGATAGTCGAACGCTTGTTGTAATGCGCCAGGCGCGACGCCTCGCCCGCGATGCGCTCGAAGATGTCGTTGACAAACGAGTTCATGATGCCCATGGCCTTAGACGAGATACCGGTGTCCGGGTGGACCTGCTTCAGCACCTTGTACACATAGATGGAATAACTCTCCTTGCGGCTACGTTTGCGCTTCTTACCATCTTTCTTCTGCGCCTTAGTTACTGCCTTCTTGGAGCCCTTTTTCGGAGCAGGAGCAGACTTAGCTGCTTCCGGCATGATGAAAAGCAACTCAAAAGAATTTAAGAGAAAGAGAAACAGCGTGGTAAAAGATACGCTGTGTCCCTTTTATATAGAAACTCTTATGCAAATAAGGTGATAAGTTAAACCCTTGTGTCTGATTGGTGGCTGTTTAAGAAGCCGTAAGAAATTAGTTCTGCCCAATCACAACGCAAGAATCCTACTGCCGCCTTTCCATTGGTTAAAATGAAGCCACAATCCTAACCAATGACATACCTCTTTTATCGCGCCCAATAAGGGTTATAAGAAGTGCTGCCCCAACGCTTTCGTTCTGAAAGACTTCTGAGGTGTTCTCGTTGGTTTCATGATGTCTGGACGAGGCAAGCAAGGCGGGAAAGCTCGCGCCAAGGCCAAGACCCGCTCTTCACGGGCAGGGCTGCAGTTTCCCGTGGGCCGAGTGCACCGCCTGCTCCGCAAGGGCAACTACGCTGAGCGTGTCGGGGCCGGCGCGCCGGTGTACCTGGCGGCAGTGCTGGAGTACCTGACCGCGGAGATCCTGGAGCTGGCGGGCAACGCGGCTCGCGACAACAAGAAGACGCGTATCATTCCGCGTCATCTGCAGCTGGCCATCCGTAACGACGAGGAGCTTAACAAGCTGTTAGGCAAAGTCACCATCGCTCAGGGTGGCGTACTGCCCAATATCCAGGCCGTGCTGCTGCCCAAAAAGACTGAGAGCCACCACAAGGCCAAGGGCAAGTAATTGCCTAGATTATAGCAACTCGGATAAATTCAAACCAAAGGCTCTTTTCAGGGCCACCCATATTTTCTGTAAAAGAGTTTTAACATTTGTTACGTTGGACGATGAAAAGGGGTAGTGAGATTTAATAAAAGCCTGAGTCACTTTCCCATCCTCTGCTTTGTTGAAAGCAAAGTAAGAAAAACATTTTATCACGTTTTAAAGAAAGTTCGCTGCAGTGATCATCTACGGACTTAGGACTTTATCGCTAATCCTTAATAAGTGTGCGTCCACGGGTAGCCATTAGCATCAGTTTCTGAAATATTTTGGTACAAAAGAAGCACTACCCTGACTCGAATTTAGCAGACGGTGCGGCAAGGGCCTGACCAGGCGGCCTGCGGGAGCGCGCCGGCCACGGGCGGCGTGAAGAAGCCGCACCGCTACCGGCCCGGCATGGTGGCCCTGCGCGAGATCCGCCGCTACCAGAAGTCCACGGAGCTGCTGATCCGCAAGCTGCCGTTCCAGTGCCTGGTGCGCGAGGTCTCCCAGGACTTCAAGACCGACATGCACTTCCAGAGCTTGGCCCTGATGGCGCTGCAGGAGGCGTGCGAGGCCTACCTGGTGGGGCTCTTCGAGGACACCAACTTGTGTGTCATCACGCCAAGCGCGTCACCATCATGCCCAAGGACATCCAGTTCCCCTACAGATCAACGGAGAGCTTCGTGGCACGATAGTCTCCCTCACCCAAATACTGTCAGCCACATACGTTTTCCCTAACAGTACATGTGCCACGAGGCAATGTTGCTACGTTAAAATATTGGGATTACATCTGTAGATGTGACACCACTCTGGAGCACGAGAAAGGTTTCTCATATTTGGGTTGCGGCCTAAATCTCAAGTGCTGTTGCCTCAGGAGAACTTGACAGGTTAGTTATTTCTAACAAACTTTAAACCGATCAAGACATTTGAGGAAATGTTTTCCATAACTATTGCTATTGAAATGTAAAGTGTTGCCAATCACGCAGACTTAAACTTCTGCCTCGTAGACTTAAAGTAAGTGTGGGGTAAGGAAAATAATATAGAGGATTATGATATGGTTCGACAAAGTAGTTGGTAAGTAGTGGAGAAATGTAGTGTGTTGTGGGCTCCTGACAGAAACCAAGTCAGCAAAGCTGATAGGGTTACCTTTGAAAGAGTTATTTGATGTGACATGACAAGTAACTTCTGTTGCTGTAACCAAATAAGGAATACCCCTGCCAATGGTTTTTCCTGCCTAGGTCGCAGAATCTAGCCTCTTACTCTCCACTCACTGAACTCTTTTAATTGACGTCATCTCAAAATAAAAGACGTTAACTTTTTTTTTTCTTGAATATCGTGAACACCTTTGGCTGTGTGGTGACTAAGTGGAAACTTCTCAGACTAATGTTTTAAGTGTACAAAATGCAAAAGTTGCAAAAAAATTTATTACATTACAGTTATCAAAGTATTTTTAAAAGTAAATTTGATAGAGTGACATATGCACTTATATAATTAACACAGCACATAACACAATCTTTTGGGGAGCCTAACTGCCATCAGTAATAAGATAAGTATAAAAGATGGTTTAAGATAACGCAGCAATTGTTATGAAAAATGAAACATCTGTGATTTCCACTGGGTAACAAAGTAACAGGTACTGAGGTTTGAGGCCTAAATTCATAATAAAGTGAAATGCCAATGTTCAGTTAAAGGTTAATTAAAATATATATTTTTCTCCATCTAAACTAATGGACTTCCCCCCTCACCACTACCGCCACCGCCCCAACCACATTCTGCTGATTTTTATCCTCAGAGGCATTGTGGCATATATGGATCCCAGGTGAAAAACCGTTGCTGTAAGATTTGGTCAATCTAACCCATTCTTTTGCAACTTAATTATGATTTTTCACTGAAACTGCCTCTTCATAGCTGGAATTTCTTTAGCACTTAAGTCTTCTAATATCTCATATAATTATTCATACCCTTTTATTGTCTTTGTACTTAAAATAGAACTTCTTCCAATCCTAGTATAAATAAGACTTCTTGAAATAAAAAGAAATGCCAACAACAATATCTAACAATGCTAGACACTCAAATGACCCATCAAAAAACAGTAAAATATTTGACTTTCCATAGGCTTTTTAGAAGTTACGTAACCCAAATGATTTCATTCATTATTCAATTGTTCTGTCTTTAAATATGTCTTCCAATTGTAGGGAAAAAACATAATTTTTCCTCCACCCTTCTGAGTTTTTGACTGAGAGCCTGTAAGCAGATAGGTTAGGGGGTCCCCGCACCTGACCAGGGATTGAACCCGGGCTCTTGGCAGTGAAAGCGTGGAATCCTAACCACTGGACCACCGGGTAATTCCCAGGAATGGCTTTATTTACATAAGAGAAGCCATTTTGGCCTAAGCCATTTTGTGATCTAAGCGTGATCTAATGCTTGCCCTTGAACGTGTCTCAGTAATCAATGATCTTAAGGAAAGTAAGGGAGTGCAGGAACAAAGGAAAAGCAGTCAAGAAACAATAGTTCAACAATAAAAGCCCTAGTTCCTCCTCAAGGGATATAGATAAAAATCTGATACAATCTTTGAGTTCTGCAGGAACTAAGGCCCCCACCTAGGTGGAGAATGGAATGATAATTTTGCCCCGTAGTGACTTCAGATCAACTAAAGCTTGGACTCCGTCAACCTTTGCCACAATTCTGTGCTGAATTCTCTGCTCGAGCCCCTTCATGAATATGCATGTACCCTTAGCTTAAAACTTCCCCAGTTTTGCTGTTCAGCGAGACACTGCTTTGGGAAGATCCCCGGTGTTCTCCTTACTTGTTGCAAGTAGTAATAAATTCTTTCTTCCTTCTCCTGATCTTTGGCTTGGTTCTGTCTTTTGGTGCGACACCCACCAAGAGGCGAACCCAGTTTTCGGGTAACAAGCCCTGTAATAAAAGCCAAATTCGAAAGAGAAAAACATGTTTCTTAACAACTATACCTCATCTATACATGGGAGAAACCCAGGGAAAAATGAGTACCTCTAGAGATGCCTTAGAATTCCAGGGAATTCCCTGGTGGCTTTCACTGCCAAGGTCTCGAGTTCAATCCCTGGTCAGGGAATTAAGATCCCGCAAGCTGTGAGGTGCGGTCAAAAACCAAAACAAAACAAATAAAAAGAACTCCATCTTAAATACCATCTTCCGCTAAAGATGGAGATGTAGGGAGGTCAGGTACGGGGAGGTTACCAGGGAAACAAGGGTAAACTTTGTTAGGCATATTTAAATTGATGCCTTCTCCATTGATAAGGGTCTAAAGTTGTTTACTAGGATTAACCTTTGTTCTTCCTGGGAAAGAGAGGAGGAGGGACATCTCTGTAAATCTGTGTCCTGCTTTTAGGGAAACAGAAGGAAAGCAAGAAGATTTTCTTGGATCTGCTTCATCTCAAACGCCTCAGTTCAGCGAAATAATCCTTATGCTAAATGGTGTATTTTGGGGTGGCCTATTCTGCTCCCCTTCAACACCAAATACTAATATTTTGTTGATGTATACTGTTGTCTGTATTAATATAAAAAATCTGAACTCATGCATTATATTTTAAATGATACACAGAGAATATTTCTAAACAAAAGTTTTAAAGCAAATTAAAACTCTCCCATTACAGTACTTTTAAGGTTTTTTTTTTAAATTTAAATCCAATGTTGTGGGTTAATAATGTAATTGAACATTTTTTTCTTATATTTGTAGACATTTGTATATCCATTACAGTCAGTTTGGACATCTATTCTGCCCAAACTATTTGGGCATTTGCCCATCTATTTGGGCATTTTGAGATAGAAAGTTAAAGATCAAGTTTAAGATCAAGAATATTTAAGGAAGATCAAGAGCAGAGAAAGCACGGGTAGAAAGTGAGTTCACAGAGGTAGGCAGAGGTCAGATCATGTAGGGCTTTGTGATCATGTAGGGTTTTATATGCCATGCTATAAGTTTTTGCAAATCATTGTAAGAGTTTTGAACAGAGGAATGGCATAACCTGATTTACATTTCTTTGAAAGTTCACTAAGGCAACTGTATGGTGAATACAAAGTTTAGAAGTAATGATATAAATTAGGAAGCTATTGCAGTGGTCTTTTTGAGAGATAATGGTGGTTTGGCTTAAATTGGGGTAATAGACAATGGTTAGGTATAGGATATATTTCACAAGTGTAACCAATAAAGTTTGCTGCTGGATTTGATTTGTACTGTGTAGGAGAGGAAAAAGAAATTTCCCTTTGAATTCTTGGCTGAGACTACTTAGAATAAAAGACAAATTAAAAAGAGAAAAACCACCAAAATTTTATTAACATGTAAACCTCATGTATACAGGAGAGACACAGGAAAAATGAGTAAACTCCTCAAGATGGCCCAAGCCACCACCTTACACATCATCTTTAGCTAAAGACAAAAGAAAGTTGTGTAGGGGAGGGGGGACACATTATCAGAAAAACGCATAATAAACAAGGGTTTGTTATGCAGGTTAAAGTTATGCAGGTTAAAGTGGGTGCCTTCTCCCATTGTCGTTTCATGATTTCGAATCATCCTTCTCTTCATAGTATAGAGAGGGAGACACAAATGTAGCTTTCCGCTATAAATATGTGTCTCTTACATAAAGGTAACTTCTGTTTTCAGAGATTCACCTGTCTATGCTGTTTCTCAAAAATAATTAGTTCAAAATAACCCTTATGACAAAGAGGCATACTTTGGGGTGACATATTCAGCTGCCCTTCAACAGTGAAAGAACATAAAGCCACAAAGAAAATATTTGATTTGAACTGTTCATCTCGACATATTAAGTCAGTTACTATGTTAGAAAATGGCCCGAAGAGCATTGTATTTTTATAAAATAATATATTGTATGTTTATAGAATAATAAAACTTTGCTTATCAATTTCAGAAATTATAAAGAATCTGACAAACTTTTCAGATATCCATCCATTGCTAGTCTTATAATCACTAGTTGTTATGCAAAAACTCATGAAATCAGATAGGAAGGGAGGCTAGTAGTTGGTGGGAATTTTACCCATTTTTAAAGTAGAGAAGGGGGCCTCCCCTGTTGGTCCAGTGGTTAAGACTCCACGCTCACAATGCAAAGGGCCTGGGTTCCATCCCTGCATGCTGCAGCTAAAGACCCCGCAGGCTGCAACGAAGGTCCGCATAAGACCTGGCTCAGCCAAATAAATAAATAAATAAATATTTTTTAAAAAAAGTAGAGAAGGGTCTGTAAAATATATTCCAGTTAACTAATGTTGGGGAAATATAATGTAAAACAAAAGAAGAGAAAGTTTGTTATTGAATAAGCTTAATGCTTATTCAAAATATTATGCTCTACACGGGCAATCTTTTAAAGAGATTGCAAAGATAAAGAAAAAACTCTCACTCTTTTATATAGGTAAGTAGATACTACCCATTACATTAGGTAGGTTTTGCAATCTGGAGTCAAGAAACTGGGAAATAGAGTACTATTTTCCTTGATGATTAAAGAGAGGACTCTAAGCTCCTTGAGGAAACTTTCCTGAGTTAAGAGGCTGGCAAAGAGCTTTTTTAGCCATTTTACGTACATTTGGAAAGGACAGAGAAAGAAATTTTGAAAGAGAAAAAGGAAAGGAAAGGGACACTCGGGGAGAATTAAGCCTCTTATTTTCAACTTGTATTTGCCCTTAAATTAACTTGTTGAATTATGCTGGATATATACCCATCTCTGTAATATATACTGAATTTTGTTCCTGTTGGTTGAATCAGTTTTGTTTTTGCAAAGGTTTTTATTTATTTTATGAAATTTATAGTTGTACTTTGAAAATACTGTATTGCAACCTTGCTAAAAGTAACTCTCATTGAAATAAAGGAAAGTGAAAGAAAATCATTGAATAACAATGGGATTATATGCTAATGCTGAAAGAAGGGATTAAAATTTCTCAGAATTTAAGCAATAGTAAAATAGTATATATTTTTTAAATTAAGTATATACAACCAAGAATGTTTGAAATATATAATCATTCTTTTAATAAAGGCTTTCTTAGAAAGACAAAGGTAGACTTTCTTTTCTCTGCATTTGAATTTTCTACTTGTTCACTAATGACAAATTAACTGCTCTTCTAATTAATGAAAGTTAAAAAAAATTTTTAATTATATGTTACCTAGAAAAAAAATCTACTGAGACATTTAAAGACCCAGATTCAGTATTTTGCAGGTTAGGAGGACACAGTACTTCAAAAATAACAAATTTACCCTAATAAATTGTATAGATTTAATACAGTTAAGAGTACTAAAAGAACTACTTTGTTGCAGCTAGATAAAATGATTTATTTTTCTATAATAGTAGAAATTAATTTGAAATAAATAATTATGAGGTATGAATTCACTGGCAAATACTTATTTTTCAACATTACAAATAATTAAATGCTAGAGCACTATACATAGACTGATCAGCAGAATAAAAACTCAAAAAATAATTTTAAGTGAAATATTCAATAAACGATCAATTAAGTTCCTCAAATAAGTGGAGAAAATATTTACTATGCTATACTGATGAGCCAGCTGGTTAATATTTTAAAAGTTAATTCTCTATACAAGAAACCAAGTCTGGATTATTATAGAGTTAAATTTTTTTAATGATTCTACCCATTATCAGTAAAATAATAATAGGAATTTATATTAAAAATGGAAATTGACACACATTTGGTGGAAGAGAATTTAGCAATATACCTGGAAGATCTTGAAATTCTCTATTTTATTAGCCCATCTTACTCTATTTCTAGGTAGTATATTTCCCCTATATATTAGGAGAAAAACTTCACGAAATGGTATTAACCGTATGCAAATACTGGTAGAGAAAGAAGACACATGTATATAGGTAGAGATAAAAGCAGAATATTTTATTCTCTGTGCTATTTTATGTATCATCTACAATATTAAAGTTTTGTTGCTTAACGAGGATGAGGAGCGAAACAAATTAAATGAGAAAAGGGGAGAAAAATAGCCTAGGTCTTGAGGAATCAAAAGAATTAACTGAAAGAGAACAAACGGGAGTAGTACGGCCGGCTTGTTCCTTTAGGTCTTTAGGTCCCCTCCCCCAACCCAGAGGGATTCCCGCCACAGCTCTTGGTTTTCACTCTGGTCCGCAGAGGTTACTTTTTTAAAAGGAGCTGCGACGAGTTGAATGCAGTTTTCTGCTCATTTCCTGAGAATGTCTGGACGTGGTAAGGGGGGGAAAGGTCTGGGGAAAGGGGGCGCCAAGCGCCACCGCAAAGTTCTGCGCGATAATATCCAGGGCATCACCAAGCCCGCCATCCGCCGCCTGGCCCGGCGTGGAGGTGTCAAGCGCATCTCTGGTCTCATCTACGAGGAGACCCGTGGGGTGCTGAAGGTGTTCTTGGAGAACGTGATCCGGGACGCCGTCACCTACACCGAGCACGCCAAGCGCAAGACGGTCACGGCCATGGACGTAGTGTACGCGCTCAAGCGCCAAGGACGCACCCTCTACGGCTTCGGCGGCTAAAAGAAAAAAGTTTGATCCTGTTTGTTTATTAAAAAGGCCCTTTTTAGGGCCCCCAAGTTTTCAAGGAAAGGGCTAAAGTAACAATCCGTCTGTACGCTAGTGTCTTAAACCATTTAAAATGGATCGCTCAAGGCAGTTCACATAGTTAACTCTAGGGTGTGTAAAATGGACTGAGCACAGTATTTAGTGATCGCGGGGCAAGATTCCCCCGGGCACGGGTGGGGCCTCCAACTAGCTTCTCGGCTGCGGATTGGTTTTATCTGGAGGCCTGAGTTTTATGAGACCAGAGGCCCGGACTCAGGCCCAACTCTAAAATCTCCCTCCAGTCCTTTATATTTCTTAATGTCGGGTGAGGGATATGACCTTGTTTTTCCCCATTTTACCACCCATCTGTTACTTGTTTCTCTAGCCGTATATGTTTTTTAAAAACTAGTAAATTGGCCACATAATATCTTTTTTGTGAGCCCTCATATTACATATCTTTACCCTGAAGACATGTTTCTCTTTGCCTTGCAGACTTTGTTCCTCCTGGCTGCGGGTGAGGGTGGGGGGCAGGGAGGGCGGCGCAGAGTTCTAGCATTGTCCTGACCCCGAATGGGCTGGACATGAGATAACTGCTTAGTTAAAAGGCTGCATTTTAGGAGGTCATTGGAGGCCAAGTTTACTAACACATAAATGCATATTAGAACACCGGCGGTGGAGAAAAAAGGACACGTGACAGGCTGTTAAGGCTTAAACAGGAAGCCACTGTACTTCACACAGAAGACCCCCGAAACAAGAATGATTCGCTTTGTGTTCACGTGTTAACTTATCAGATCTAAGGGCCGTGTTGCTGAAGCACTTGGTAGTATAATTGGTTTTCTTCTATTCAGAGGCAATTTACGACCACAGTACGTATGATTCAGTACAATGGAATTCTCAATACCTCACGTTATCGCTAGAACTTAAACCTAAATTCAGAGTTCGTATTTTCAGCTCTAATACTGACAACTTAGTGGCTCTTAAAAGAGCCTTTGGGGTTAAATCTAAAAGTTACTTGACAAATTTACTTGGCGCTGGTGTACTTGGTGACAGCCTTGGTGCCCTCGGACACGGCGTGCTTGGCCAGCTCCCCGGGCAGCAGCAGGCGCACGGCCGTCTGAATCTCCCTGGACGTGATGGTCGAGCGCTTGTTGTAGTGCGCCAGGCGCGACGCCTCGCCCGCGATGCGCTCGAAAATGTCGTTAACAAACGAATTCATGATTCCCATGGCCTTAGACGAGATGCCAGTGTCCGGGTGGACCTGCTTCAGCACCTTGTACACGTACACGGAGTAGCTCTCCTTGCGGCTGCGCTTCCGTTTCTTGCCATCCTTCTTCTGCGCTTTGGTCACCGCCTTCTTAGAGCCCTTCTTCGGGGCCAGAGCGGACTTCGCCAGCTCAGGCATGATCTACTAAAAACAAGCAACGTACAGCGACAAAAAATAGTAAATGCGCAAAGTACCTCATTTATATAGAACCTCTTATGCAAATAAGGTAAGTCGAAGTCCTATGTCTGATTGGTGGCTGTTCAAGAAACCTTCAGAAATTAGTTCTGCCCAATCAGAACGCAAGAATCCCAATTTCACCTTTCCATTGGTTAAAATGAAGCCCCATCCTAACCAATGACATACCTCCTTTTTCGCGCCCAATAAGGGTTATAAAAAGTGCTGTCCTTGCACTTTCCCTTTAGTAGCTATCTGAGGTGACGTTGCTGAGCTCGTAATGTCCGGACGCGGCAAACAAGGAGGTAAGGCTCGCGCTAAGGCTAAGACCCGGTCTTCGCGGGCCGGGCTTCAGTTCCCCGTGGGCCGAGTGCACCGCCTGCTCCGCAAGGGTAACTACGCCGAGCGGGTCGGGGCCGGCGCGCCGGTGTACCTGGCGGCAGTGCTGGAGTACCTGACGGCCGAGATCCTGGAGCTGGCGGGTAACGCGGCCCGCGACAACAAGAAGACGCGTATCATCCCGCGCCACTTGCAGCTGGCCATCCGCAACGACGAGGAGCTCAACAAGCTGCTGGGCAAAGTCACCATCGCGCAGGGCGGCGTCCTGCCCAACATCCAGGCCGTGCTGCTGCCTAAGAAGACCGAGAGCCATCATAAGACCAAATAAGTAACAAGGTGAGAAAAGCTGATAAACAAAGGCTCTTTTCAGAGCCACCTACACTGTCAAAAGAGAAGGCTGGCACACACAATCTTGTGTTTTGAGTGATAAGATTATAAAGTGCTTCTGTTCTCTTGAGGGGGTGGAGCGCAACTCCAATAGCAATTCGGCACGTGGTCTGACCTGAAAGGACTACTTGCAGATTCACATGGACTAGTATGTGCAGGAGAGGCTTGTTCAGAAGTTGGGAGATGAATCCGATAGGCAAGTACCTGAAGTCCAGTTAATAAAACTAATGTTATCTAGAAGCAGTGTCCTTAGGCAGCCAAAATACGGATGCACTGATTACTTTTAGGAAACTTAGCAATAATGAATGTACTGTTTAGAAAAGTCCTTTGAAAGAGCATCCTGGTTAAGTGACCTAAGTAAAGGATAGTTTCATCAGATGATGAAATTCTTAAAATTCCACTCAGCAGCCGTTTACATTTTCTTTAGGATTTAATTCTAATTGGAACTAGAGTTTGTCGATTAAAAATATTCAGAACTTATTTAATCCCATATTAGTAAATCCTTGGTCCTATTTCTTTGGGACTCATGTGTTCATTTAACGCACTCTTGTAGTAACTCAGGATACAACAGTCAATTCAAACCTAGAAAATCTACCTCCCTGGAATTTACTCTAGGTGAGGGAGCCATAAATAAACATGTGAATATATAATATGTAAGATGATACACATCCTGTGAAAAACATAGGGAGGAGATAAGCCATAGAGCATTATGGGGACTCATTTTAGATAGGGGGTAAATGGAGATTACCTCTTAAAAGTATTACTTGCTCAGAGACCTACATAAATTAAAATAACGAGACAGGCAGATACTAGAGGAAGAGTATTTCAAGTAGAGGGAACTGAAAATGCAAAAGCCTTAGGACAGAAAATGTGTTTTTCTTGGGCACAGCCAGAAGGCCCATTAGGTGTTGAACTTAAAGGGGGGGGGGAGGACACCATAAAATAGGACTTCGGGTGTGTAAATTAATGTGTATAAGTAATCAAAAGCAATAGCAACCCTGATCTCTGAGATAATAAATTTGATAATACAGATTAGCTAGATAGAAAAAGCTGTGGAATCCAACCCACTTTTTAAAAAAGACACCATAAAAACAGTATTGACTGGGTGGGGGGGTGATGAATTGGGAGATTGGGATTGACATATATATACTATTGATACTACGTATAAAATAGATAACTAATGAGAACCTACAGTATAGCTCAGGGTACTCTACTTAATGCTCTGGTGACCTAAATGGGAAGGAAATGCAAAAAAGAGGGGATATACGTATACGTACAGATGATTCACTTTGCTGTACAGTAGAAACTAACACAACATTGTAAAGCAACTATACTCCAATAAAAATTAGATTAAAAAATAATATCGACTTTATTATGTGGTTCAAAAACTGAAAGATTGAGAACATAGTTTATAATTCAATACAGAATTTATTTGCTACTCCTAGTTTTTGCTTGCAGAAGCCCTGTCGAATGAAGTGATAATAAAATGCAAGACACCCAGGAAAAAAATTATGGTGATATAGTGATGTAGGTTGAGTTCTCTGGAAGCAGATGCTGAGATGGAGTTTGGGGTGCAAGATGTTTATTAGGGACCAACATCTGTGAAGGGAGGAAGGAACTAGGATTGGACAGAGAATGTCAAACTGTGATACAGGGCAGACAAACATGTGGGGAGCATTGGAGCCTGTATTGCCTGTCAGAGTTGCCCCACATTGGGTGAAAATGTCTCTGGATCAGGCTTTACTTCTGCCACTGATGACTGCCCTGAGGAAGGGCGTGCCTTGAGTTGGGTGGAGATCTGCAACTCTGGGGAACCCTGGAGATAAGAGCTGCTGCCTATCTACTAAGCGCACTCTGCAGTTGGGCAGCAAGTTTTTCCTTGGTGGGGGATCTGGATACTGCATTTCCATGTCTATGACATACATTAACATGAATATAAATATCAGTGTTGAGTAATGTCTATGATGGTATTTGTAAAACTGACTTTAGCATACATAGTTTCTTTACCTTCATTGGGGAATTTAAAAGGGATGTGTTTTCTTTTTAGAGAAATGAGAAAACTTACTTTCTAAAAACCTTTACTAACTTCATATACTCCTGTAAGAGTTTTAGATGCCACAATCATTGCAAATGGAAGATGATATAAAACATTAGGGAATAAGAGAGAATCTTCCACTGGCCTTTTCTCCGTCCTCCAGATCCAGTAATCACTTCACTTATCCAGTCCTGGGTTCCAGTTTTGTACCATAATGTGAAGGCTTCAAAGTGAATAGTTGAGGCCCCAAAAGAGAAGAGAATGAGGCTTTAAAGAAAACATGGAAGAGATATTCAGTACAGACCATTTATGGGCTACATATGTAACATGAATGCACTTGAGGTGGGTATCGTTCCAGTTACAATTTAGAAAAGAAATGCTATGGGACTGAATGTTTGAGCCCCCTGCCCCCCTTTCATATATTGAAATCCTAACCCCGCAATGTGATGGTATTTGTTGGTGGGGGCTTGGGAGGTAAATGGCTTTAGATGAGGTCATGAAGGTAGAATCCTCATGGTGGGATTAGCACTCTTGTAAGAAGAAGAAGAGATCAGAGCTCTCCACCCACTCCTGGAGCCCACAAAGAAGAAATCACATGCGCACCCAGAGAGGTGGCAGCACCTGCAAACCAGGAAGCAGGTCTTCACCAGACATGGAATCTGTTGGCACCTTGCTCTTGGACTTCCCAGATTCCAGAACTATGAGAAATAAATGTTTGTTGTTTAAGCCACCCATCCTATAATATTTGTCATAGCAGCCCAAACTGAGTAAGACAAGAAAGCACAATGTAATTTATTCAATCAGATTCTCAATTTGTAAGAGATAAAGCTATAAATCCAGATATTAGCTACCTCAACACAGAACCCACACATAACTGCCTTCTCTTAACTATCTGGTCTTATACACTTTGGTCTAAGGTATGAGTAGTAATGTTAAAGAGAGATGTTGAAAAATTTGTACATGGACAATTTTGCAATCATTGATTGGTTGGGGAAAGAGATTGACTGATATCCACAGGATAGATCATCATTTCTACCCCATTCTTAAGAGCCTCCTTCATGGTGGAAGCCCTCTGGTGGTCATTTTGGGGTAACTCATATACTGACTGTGTCCTTGTACATTACACTCCACAAGACCTTCATGATAATAATTTTCTAGTCATGTTTTCCATGTCCTTGATTAGCTGGATAACTCACCAGTCACTGTCTATAAATTAGTAAAGATACATATAGACTCGCTTTTCCTGCATCAGGCCAGATTCCCTACCATAAGAAGTGGACAACCAGATGTACCACCCAATATTCTGCTGACGGGGGATTTTTTTCACTACTCTCTCTCAAGACCTCCCATCTCTAAGTGGAAGCATAACTTGTAGTGCACAGCTATCCAATTCTACTAGTGCTAAAATGCTCTGCAAAGCCGCTCTAAACAGGGCCATGATTGTTAATCCTTTGTTAACTGGTCATAGGGGGTTTACCAAGAGGTTATAAAAAAGAGTTGAAGGAGAGGTAGCAAAGCAATAGAAACAGCACAGGAGTCTGAGCATCACACATCTTGCTCAGACCATCACAGATCTGGTCTTGTCTATAGAATTTCATTTTAAAATGAAATGCTACTGTGATATCCATCTTTATAATTTGGTAGATCATAGGACACCCAGTTCCTGGTGAATATTTTGGGGTGCATATTTGCTTTATGTCCCACTGTCAGGCATTCAGTAATTAAAATGGCTCAGTAGATGCTAGAAGCTACTTTTCAAATAAATAATAATTGCCATCAGAGTAAGACTTGGCCTTATTCTAAATCCCCAGGTGTGATACTCTTCATGAGTTTTGCAAGAGTCTCCTTAGAGCATTTCTGTCTGCCATGCATAACTCCAGATCAATGACTCTTATGCATCATAAAGCCTAAGTGGCAGGAAATGGGGCCTACTGAAAACCAGCAGGCTTACAAATTATCTGATAGCTGGTGAGGGGAGCATATCCAGATATGGTACGTGTCACTTTGGGGAAATAATAATGTTAGTAGCTCAAAGGGTAGCAAGAGAACATTTCAGATGAAAGAAATAAAAGCTGGTAGGAAAGATCCAACAGAGGTTATTATTATTATTACTATTATTATTTGGCCACACCACATGGCATCTTAGTTCCCCAACCAGGTATTGAACCTGGGCCCAAGGCAGTGAAAGCATGGAGTCCTAACCATTGAACCATCAGGGAACTCCCCCTACAGAGATTTTTAAAAAATAATATAGGAAAGAGAGGGAAGGGTTGCTGGAGCTATGCCCCTGAGTAAGAGAGAATTTTAAATTTATTTTTAATAGAAAATTTAGGAAAGTCGGAAGTAGAAAAGTCCATGGCATTGATAAAGATAGAGCTAGCAGGTTGGATTAGGCCACCCTGTCTCTTATCCTACTCAGAATCACTGTAGTAAAAGTGTCAGGCAAAATCCTCAGAAAGGCTTTCAAAAATAAAAAGCACAAGAAGAGAGGCCATTTTCTAGGCCTGTGCCACACCAAGGACTAACACACAGGATTGGCTTTTCTCTCTTCTTATAGAGAAGCACATGCAAATCAGTCCAATTGCCAAAACACCCCAGCAGAAAATGCAGAAAAGCACTTGTGTCCATAAATAGGGTGCTTTCTAAATAGGGTGAGAGGAAGTCCCTGAGGGAAAGAAAGGAAGGAGAAGTCCGACTCAAACAGGCCTGAGACAAAAGCAGCCTGCATTCCCTGTACAGGCAGCATTTCCTTTCCTTCAGCTAAACTGAGCTCATTTCCTTGAGACAGAAAATCCCTAGCTCTCTTCCCTGATCAAATTAATACTGGGAAGCAGGTAATTCTTCAGCAAACCTGCCAGTAATTAGGGTGGCTTTGTGTGATCTAGAAGAAAGGAGATAAAGAAAATCTCAGAAA